GACTGTTAACTGCTGCCACCAAGAAAGCGAGAAATTTTCCTAGCCCAAGTAACTTTGAACACCTTTTGACGCTACAAAAGGAGTGGAAAAAGGCAATCAAAAAGGCCAAAAAAGCGAATTTCACCAGTAAGATTGAGGAAATAAATGTTGAGAAGGGGATGAATGCATGGCGTTTTGTTAAAGCCCTAAGAGGAGATTTTAGTCAAAATAGTAACAATCAGTGGAATCATGACAATGACGCTGACTTTTTAAATATGCTTAATAGCCAGGTCCCAGCACAAGAAACAAGGTTTGACGCAAACATGGAGATAGTATCAGACCCCAACCTAGCATTTTCCTTTGAAGAGATACAAACTAGTCTGAACAAAAAGAAAAAAAATTCAGCTGCTGGGGTTGATAAAATAACCTACAAAATGCTCAAAACTCTTCCGGAACAAACCCTGAATTCCTTAAAAACAGCTTTANAGAGATAGTATCAGACCCCAACCTAGCATTTTCCTTTGAAGAGATACAAACTAGTCTGAACAAAAGGAAAAAAAATTCAGCTGCTGGGGTTGATAAAATAACCTACAAAATGCTCAAAACTCTTCCGGAACAAACCCTGAATTCCTTAAAAACAGCTTTAAATGACCTATTCCTATCTAACCAAATCCCTTACCACTGGCGTACCATCAAAATAGTACCTATCCCTAAGAGGGACAGGGACCTCAATGATTTCAACAATTTTAGACCTATTGCTTTAATATCGGTGTTACTCAAACTCATTAATTCTTGCATCAAAGAAAGATTGGACTCTTTTGTGGAGGACAACAATAGCCTACCCAGCAACTCTTTTGCGTACAGAAAAACAAAATCGTCTGCTGTATGCGTAAATCACATCTTACACTACATAAATTTGCAAAAAGCCAACAAAAAACAAGTAATCTTTTGTTCAACAGACATCTCAAATGCGTATAACTGCGTGGACATTAAAATTCTCAGGGAGCTTCTATCTGATCTGAATGTTGAAAGCCTGTACACGGAATGGATCACTAACTTCCTTGCCCACAGAGTCCTAAACATTGGAAACAACACAATTGATATTTACAATGGTTTACCTCAAGGCAGCTGCTTGTCACCGCTTCTCTTCAACATCTACACCTCCAAACTACATGATATAAATGACAGTCACATGCAAATATTTCAATTTGCGTCTATAACCGAAGAAAATACCGGTTTTGGAGTATATAACTACTCTAAAAATACTGAACACCTCTACTGCTTTGATTTCAGGGCGTCATCCACTTTTGGTGAACTCTATGCTATTGACGAGGCAATTACTATTGCCATAAATGACAATCAAGAAAAAGTTGTTATTTTTACTGACAGCCTAACCTCCTGCCAAATCCTTAAAGACCCAAATACAAATAACAGCATTGCACATCAAATCCACAAGAAAATTTGTGAGGCCGACCTAGCTGAAGTAGCTCTGGTTTGGACCCCAAGCCATGTAGGCATCTCAGGCAACGAAAGGGCTGATGCCTTAGCCAAACGAGCAACCACTGAGGGAATGCTTAAGAGTGCTAGACTCACGATAGAGGAAACCACTAATCAAATCAAGAACATTATTTTTAATGAATGGTACAACAATTTCTTAGAATACTCAAATCTCAAACCCAATCTATTTGCAGCCACACACCCTTGTAGGAGGAAATTTGCTTGGTTCAAAAAAAGTTCGTTATCGCCAACTGAGATCAAAACTATAAATAGAATACTGTCGGGTCACACATATGATAAAGCGTACTTGGTCAAAATAAAAGCCTCCAACTCACATAGATGCTACTGTGGTCAATCTGATAACTATGTACATCAGACCTTCCACTGCAGAAGGCATGCGAACATTAGACAACAATTCGATGTATTCTCACTCTATAACAATTTTGAAAACGTTTTTAAAAGTAATGATCAAGCCAAAATCTCTCAGCTCGCTAAATTTATACAGAAAGCTAAACTTACCTTTTAATGTATGATCCGCTTAAGTCTAATTATAACATTTTACTGCTATAAACCCCCAAATTGTGTCTAAAACGATATTCATTTATATAACTAATTTTCGTTCCACTAAGCCCTAGCCTACCAAATCCGCCATCGGTTAATGTGATTGCTAAAATCACGCTCGTTTATTGCCAATGAAAATTGTAAAAACTATACACAAGAAAGAAACCAAAGCAGAAACTTGTATAGCAAAGCAGAAACTCGTCAAGAATATAAGTACCATACTAAGACAAAGAAAGCAAGCAGAAACTCACATAGCAAAGCAGAAACTCATGTATGCGGTTCTGGCCTACTGGTATTACCTGTGTGCATCAGTGGAGCAACGTTCGAGACATCTACACATCACTCATAGCAGCAAGAATATACCATACTAAGACGTACAACCTGATTTGTGGGGACTACTGAGTCCTCATGTCATCACTTCAAACCCCAAAAAAAAGAATCTGCTTCCTCTATTACTCGTATTACTTTGTCCCCGCATGCCGTTAAAACGCCAAAGTCGAATTTTATATTTAAAACAGGTGGAAAGTCTCTTTAGAAAAGAAAAACAAAAAATATTCCAAATTTTAGCTAGAGCTATTAACGATTCCTGTGAAAAATTTAACCTAAATCCGGCCAGCCATTTTTGAGTGAAAAGAAGTGTCGCATGGTTTGGTATCCTTAATTTCGAATCACCCCGTAACGATAAAAAAGTTGTAGCTTCAAAAACTACAAACGTCTTCAAATACCTCGACATAATTCTAAGTGTTCAGAAAAAAGGTTTCTAACATTCTATCGTTTGAAATCCATGTTTTAAAATTTCATATAATTGCATGATTTAATTTAATTTGAGTTTTCAAACTAAAATCTTCGTAAACCCCTTTCGCCGAACAACCACATTCTAATATCTATTTTAACTACCAAATAGTGCAATTTAAGTTGAATTTATTTTTTAAACATATGGCAACACTATACTTAGAAATGTTTGGGCATAAAACCTTTTCAGAACCATATCGATTGATATCCATATTCTTAGGACGAATTTAACTAATTAAATAATTTGAATTTAACTTTTTAAACAGGTGGCAACCCTCTTCAGATGCCTTAAGAATACTCTAAATGTTCATACTAAAAATTTTGTAACACTCTATCCTTTGACACTCGTACTTTAATATTTCGTATAACTTGTGTTTAATATAATTCGACTCTTTCAAAATATTTTCAAGCTAAAACCTCTTCAAATATCTTTCGTATAAACTCGTGATGTGGTAACCCATAATTTTGTACATGTTTAAACTACTCAATTCACATAACTCAAGTTGAATGTGACTTTTTAAACAGGTGGAAACCCCTCCTACAAGTAGTAAGCTTTTAGACTAAATAAATAAATAAATAAGTAAGTAAATAAAAACATCAACTAACAAAATAATAATTATATATTGGCGTTTACACATAAGTATGTTAGTTTGGCCAAATGTCTGCGGAATGCCGGAATGTTAGCGCGCTCTGCCAACCACTACGCCACAGCGGCCACTTATGTAAATCCTTTTCAAAAAAATTTTGTTTGACACACATATTATAACTGATTTAACCTGCTAAAAAATTTGAATCAAACTTTTTAACAAGCGGCAACTCTTTCGAAAAATAAAACCTTATTTCAGATCTATAGGCCAAGTCCTTTAATTTGACAGCTCAGTCATGCCAATCGAATGAACGGCGCAGAACTGATGACGTTAACAAAAAATGCCTTCGGGTATTATATGAGCATTTTTCTGAATAAAAATTAAGAGCTTTTCTAATCATAATCTCAATCTTAATCCTTGCTAGTTTGTACTTCGATTTTCCAGTATAGTATCTTAGTGTCGCCTAATCTTTTCTTCTACATATTTGCTTCCTTCCTTGCTCGGCTTTTTCGTTTGTATTCTCTTCGGGTTTTCTCCACCAGATCTCTCTAGTACCTACATATGCACCAGCTATTAGTTGCCATGGCATATATTGCGCTCAGTTCTTTTGTATATCCTTCTTATGTCAACGTTACCTATTCGTTCCATTCTCCAATATCTGCCCCTCGTTTTTCTTTTTTATAAAACATACTATGTATGATGTCATTAAGAAATTTGGCGTTAAACATCGCTATTATAGGCCATGTACTGTTCCTTCAAGTTCTGCATAAATTCCACGGTATAGCTTATCGATATGAGGTTGCCTGTGGCTAGTGCGTTTATTTGAATATTTTTTGATGTTAAATTTGAAATAATTTTATGCTTCGTAGTATATCAGTGATCTCAACGCCGATTTCTCTGTTTCCTGTTCTCTCGATCTATGAACAAAATACTTACATACATATGTATTGTCTCAGCTATTCTAAAAAAACCCGGTGATTAAGTAAATGTTTATGTATTTTAAACTCGCAGTATTTAGTTGTTTTAATGAAAATAGATTCAAAAGAGTGCTACTGCCGTTACATGAATAAATACATATGAATAACAGTGGATATTAAATCACGGTTTTTACGTTTCATTGCTTGCCAAATAAAAAGTATGCAAAGAAAATTTCCATCTCACCGCTTTGATAAATACATTCAAATATGCCCATAACCCTATCGGGAAACGCACTAGTGCCGAACTTTTGCTGTACAAGTCCGATAGAATACAAGATTGCGCTGATTGATGTGAAATTCAGGAGAGTAACGGGAATATGCGGAACTAGATATTTGATTCACTAGTACGCGGTTTCTCTGCGGGGTAGGTATACATCTACGCATGTATGTATGTATGTACGTTAATCCTCACATTCATATCCTTACGTACTTATTTACGTATCTTACTAAAGCAATGCGCCAAAATCAATCGGAATAAAGAATAAAATATTCAAAAAAAAAAAAAAACGAAATCCAAAGAATAAATAATGAATATCTGCTATAAAAAACAGCAACAACTTAAGCTTAAGCTATGAAAAATTGGTAACAGAACGTAATAAAATTTTTCTACACACCACCAAACAGGCAAAGTAACGAACGGGCAAGCGCGAGGTGGGAGGTAGGTGGCCGCCAAAAACAAATATATACATATAGAAATCAAAAAGTAAATAGAATTGCAAAGTGAAGCAATAACTTTGGGATATATATGTATGATATAAATACATAGGATCTATGTATAGGGTGATTCAAGAGTGATGCATCTCTCCGGGGTCACGTCTTTGTGGTATCGCACGTTTAATAATATAGAGATTTAATTTCAAATTAACGTTTTTGGAGATTTCATCATACAATTCATAAGCATGATAGGGATAATATGTTCTGCCTAAAAGACGACTGAATTTTCCAAAAATGGCGAATGTCTCTTGGTATACCAACTGTATGAACTGAACAAACTTTGGTGGCGTTTGGTATTTTTTTCAAACAATTGGTACTACCGGCTTTGGTAAACTAATAGCCAGTTTCACAAAACTAATTTAAGTGAAAAATTATTATTATTTTTATAATTTAATATGGAAATTGACAGAAAAATATTATTTTGCATTGCAATTGCTTTCGTGTTGTTTTATTTATAAAAGAAAATCTGCTGTCTTTCTGAATCACCTTATATGTTGTGAAAAAATCGACCCTATTGCAATATTAACGTATGAAGGTATGTGTGTACGTGTGCACGTGATTCAATACAGAGCAGGCAGGCAATTGGGTGAAGGTTGAGCCGATGAGGCTAGTCACATAAAGCCTCTGACGCCAGAGCGCACCCACACACACAGCAACACATCTACAAACATATGTACATTGCTATGCACATAATTTGAGGCTTATTGACACCCTTCGATTGGGTATTTGCTCATATTTAGTGTGGAACGTCGAATACACACCCGAATAAAAATGAAATGGCAACGCGTGCAGTCACACACACACAAACACACTCCTGCACACGTTTGTTGTGCTTTGTGAACCCGTGAATGTATGTAGGTGTATGATTGCACTTGCAGATGAAATACTAAAAATCGGCAATAAAATCAACACCTCAGCACCACGACTGACTGACTGGCTGCACTCAACCAGATTGAAGTCACACAGTCACCACTACACATACACTGACATATCCTTGTGCTCGTTCGGGCAATCACCTTGAAGAATAAATAACAAAATAAAATATTACATCGTAGAGTGTAGAGGGCGTGTGCTTGGTAGATTTAGGCGAAAGTCGATGAGTTGGAAGGAACTCTTTTGTGCAGGAAGTTGTAGGTGTTTTATTTTATGGATTAATCTAAAAATTTACATTTTCTAGTTCAGTGGTGTTGGCGCAGTGCACACATCCCTAAGTTATGCAATTTTACACCAACAATTTTTAGGTAAAATGGACGACCGATTCGTAACTCATGCCGGTTGAGCTGTAACGGTACAGGTGGCCAAAAAAGATCTACTAATATTAAACACGTATAATTATTTAATTAAATGTAATAAATTTTTTTTTATATATGAAGTACATTTTATGGAAATTAAGAGGCACTATATATGAAAAAATTACAGCAGAAAAATATCTACTATTTTTTATTGTGTATCGTAGGCTCTGATTTTGTCTCAAATATTCATACACTTTGTCTTTTAAATATGAATATAAAAA